CGTGATTATCGTCAAGGAGCAGCAGGACATGTGGTGGTGTGGAGAACTCAACGGCAGTGTGGGATGGTTTCCTAAGTCTTACGTTAAACTTCTTGGAGGAGTTAGTGGAGCCACAAAACCGGGCGAGTAAGTGTGACTGTTGTGAAAATGAAACTTCACATCTCGTGGCGTTTCAGCTTTCATGTAGCTGGTATCGTTAGTCACACTCCAACAACAGCATGCATGTTCTTCACACTATTCTGTATATATTTCCTAAGGTTCTGACAAGGATAATTTTTTTAATAATCAAGATCTTGTTCTGGTGATGATCATTTCCTTTATTCTCGTGGCTTCAATGTGTTATTCAGGGGTGATATTGTAAGGAGAAATTAGATGCTAATCACTCTTAAGGATGAGAGGGTTAACTAGTGTATCTAGGAGGCAATGCTCGAACTTCGTTTTAGCCTCAATTTATCCCTGTTATCAGCCCCCTCTCAAGGTCTTGCTCTTTGACTAACCCTACAAGTGTAATCTATCAGTATCAGGGCTCTGAATGATCCCTCTGTTTTGTTTTTTGAAGGACAAACGGGGCACCGAAAGAACAACCGAGTAAGTCTCCAGAATCCATTCCTCTTACTGAACCAATTCCAAGTTCACCAACAACACTGTTTGGTAAGTAACTGTTGACCAAAGATTCATCCAAGCTTGGTTTTCGTTTGATTTTCTGAGTCGCCCTGTTTAATGCTCAATCGGTCGCAACAATTTAAGGCTATTAGGCCAGACAATCACGAACGTTTCGTGATCACTTGGATTGCTTCAAACGACTCGAAAACAGAGGCGTTGAAGACAATTTGGGCAATGGTGTGGATTGAAGTACAGCAGAATCTGTTATGTCAGTTATTGATGCGCTTTCCACGGTGTAAGGCACACATTTCATGTGGCTAGAAACGAGTAGAAAAGTAATCCCAATAGATGTTCATTGATCATGTCAAAGGGCAGATCATATTAGTTTCTCGAGCAATTTCAAACTTGTGATCCTTTGTTTCTCGTTGTCACGTTTTTCTAACAATGTGAGCTACAAACGGCAATTTACTTTAACCTCCTGGATGGTTTTCTTTAAGTTTCCCATTGGGGTCGACTGGAAAATATCCTCTTCTTGGAGAAAAAGATGTTACATCTGTATCGAGACTGTCTGTCGAGACTGTCTTCTTACTAATGAGCGGCACTGTATCTCTCGCTTTAGTGAGAAAAAGGGGCTCACTTGCAGAATTGCTTTTGTTTATTTCAGAATGTGTAGCGGTGTATAATTACACAGGTGAAGCTGGTGACCTGTGCTTCTCTGAAGGTGATGTTATTAAGGTTTATAAAGATGAAGGCGAGTGGTGGGAAGGAAGCTGCCGAGGGGAACAAGGGCTGTTTCCTGCCAACTATGTCAAGAAAAGGGAGACAGAGGTACTTATGAAAACTTGCTTTGAATCTAGTTGGACGGGAGTCGGCTTGGCAAACTCGGTCGAATACTGAACATGACGTCAAGTTAGTCTGTGCAAGGGTCTCTGTTAGTAAAGACGCGCAAATGAGGGGTGGGAGAAGATCGGCGGGGTCTGAGAAAGAGTGACGACGAAGCGTGCAGTCCTTCTTTCCTTTTCTCTCCTTAGTCCCCTCGTCCTCTCTCTCTCGCTCGTTCCGTCGGCGCCTATTCGTAAAGTTTTCCGGAAAAAAACTAAGGGAAATAAAATGATTCGACTTGACTTCAGTGCGCGTTGATGAGAAACAATCTCGGATTTTTGGCAATGCATGCTATTTGTTTGCAATGCACAGGTAATTGTTTGAAATAATTTTTTTGTATTTTTAGGGACCAAAAGCAGCTCCTCGCATGAAGCCAGGTAAGAACTCACCCAAAAAAAAAAACAAAAAAAACAAAAAAAAAACGTGAGAAAAACGGGAAAACGTGAGAAAAACGGGAAAACGTGAGTGATCTAGTCGCGATTGGTTTTGATTTGACATCTGATTGGTTAAGAGGGTGGCGTGGTTTTTTTTTCGACCAATCACAGAGCGAAGTAAAGCCAGAGCACTGCAATTAAGGTCTGTTTCCAACACTCAATGAAAACGTGCTTTTGTGTGATTTGAAAGTTTACCTAAGGATTTTTTGGAATTTCAGAAATTGCCACTGTGATTTCGGCGTACAATGCATTGTCAGCGGAACAGTTGTCTCTTTCACCCGGCCAGCTGATCTTGGTCAAGAAAAAACACCCCGATGGCTGGTGGGAAGGTGAACTACAGGTACAGTGATTATACGTACTCCATCTACTTTCTGTTTTTTATTTATGTCATGTCGCGCGGAGGCTTAATGATAATGTCGCTTTGCTTTAGATTGGAAACTCTAAGTTCAAGACTTAGCAAATTCATTGTATTCTCTCTTATTGCGAATTTGTCTACGACAACTCAGTGTTCTTAATTCTTTATTCTTTTGTTTGTTTGTATTTGTAGGCTCGTGGTAAGAAACGCCAAAGCGGCATGTTTCCAGCAAATCATGTGAAAATATTGGATAGGAAAACTTCGCCAGCAGCAAGCTCTCCAGTCACAGAAAGCGTAAGTGTCCCGAAATGACATCTGAAACTGCACGTACATGACTTGTCTTCTCAGTTGAAAGCTCTTGTTTACTGTTGCTTTAATTACACTGCCAATGTCGGAGGGATACTTTCAAACTCATTTTTTTCAATGATGCTGGGTTTCCTTTTCCATGCTCTTCACGGTAAGAGTATATTTCAGAGTTTTTTTGAATCCCTTTTTTGTTAAAGTTCCTACTAAAAGCTAATTTGGTGCTATTCCACTGCCGATTTTTCAGGTTTATAGTGTTCCTCCTGTGGCAAGAGGTGAGTTTCTAAAAGGTTTACCTTTTATTAAAGCGTGGAATTGTATGCCTAAGTCTAAGTTGTGACTGATTTTCCCTCGTTTCTTTCCTCGATCTTTCTCGTAATTTGTACGGCGCCGTTAATGTTCCTTTTCGATAGATACTCTACCTCTTGGATGTTTTTTTGTCAGAGAACATTAATTCATAGCTTTATTCTGTTAAAAGTTCATCTTCTCTCACGCTTAAAGTGACCTGACTTAAAGTTACATAGGATCTTGGTAACAGATTCCCACCATCTGTGTGGTGTAAGATCTTCTACAGGTTTGACAAAGATTTCGTCCTTTCTTTCGTCTCTAGTGACTGCGAACTTAGAACATGCTCACCGTTTCCACTTGCTTCCTTTGATTTAGTTTATTTGTTTTAATCTCCACAGCGAGACTAGAGCAGGTGTTGGCCATGTTCCCTTACACGGCCCAAAACTCTGACGAGCTCACCTTCTACAAGGGAAGCGTTATCACCGTAGTAGGTAAGGATGGAGACTGGTGGAAAGGAGAAGTGAACGGACAGACGGGCTTGTTTCCATCAAATTACGTTCAGACTCTGAGTAACGCGAAAGTGGGAACGACTCAATGTAAGTAAACAAGTGAAGGTATTTACTCTTAGAACTGTTGGACATGTAAAGTCTAACCTTTCCGCATAATTTCAGTTCGTCATGCAGCAAGTAGGTAATAAGAATAGGAACCGGATAGAGTTATAAATTTAAGAGGCCTCATCTTTGATGTTGCACTCAATACTGGTAACTAATTTACGAGGGAATATATCGCGGTTAGAAGGAAGAATTACTTACCGGATCTTAACCCGCTGCGGTGCTGTTTTGCGCTCATGTAAGGATGGTCGTCTGATTGCGCTGGTTATGAGATCGTGAGTTTCGTTTAAAATGTAGTGCTGTTGTTTTAAAGTTCACTCCGGTGAAATGGTAATTGCGTTGAAGCTACGTTTTCTGCCTCTCGTTAATTATTAGTTTGATTAAACACATGTATGTCTCAGTCTAATGTTAGCTATTGAGCAAGACGTTTGTTAAACTGCTACTTTGGCTGGAAAACCTCTAGCGACCCAGACGTCAGATTTCAACCATTAGGAATGAAAGTACAGCAGTACAATTATAACTTTGATGCTAAATGAGAACCTGCTTTGAACTGCTTGTTGGAAGGCTATAAAAATAGCTGTTTCTCCGCTTCAAATATGTATTATGAAACTTGTCGACTGTGGATCATGTTTGTGGGAAAAATCTGACTCATACATGAGGATTCGCACCCCAACTAGGTCCGATGTTGTGGTCAAATGCTCCGATGTTGCGGTCAATGTTGTGATGTTGCGGTCGAATGCTCCAATGTTTTGGTCGGATACTCCGATGTTTTGAATTTGCTGCAGAGAACTCGTTAGCGAGCCTTACGCTACTGAAATTTTACTCTGTACAATCTGCTTGCCATCCTAGATGTAATTTCCTCGTTATTGTTGTGTTTTCCTCTGCAGATTGGAGGGAATGAGGACGACAGAAATGCTTTGGGATTTATCTTCGCTTAAATTGCGCATCTAAATGATCTCGAAATATTTTGAAATTATAGCCTCTACATTGATCATTCGGTTGTTGTTTTTAAGTATTTCAGTACAAGAATTTATCCAGGTCCGCTCGATAGATCGGGATTTAAAACGCGTATAAACTAAAAAAACTAAGGGATTAGCATTGAAAGGCTGACTCGTCATAGCTATGGAATTTATTCAATGTGATTAACCAGCTGGAATATTTTGTTAGGTAACGCATGTTATTCTAGATATATAATTATAACGGTTTCTGCCGGGAACATTATTTTTGAACCAAATAGATAGTTGGTCAGACAAATTAGGTTTATGATCGGATCATAAAAGTAGCTAGGTAGAGGATTTTTTTCAATTGGCTGGTTATAATATGCCGTATACCTAACTCTGGTGGTTTGATTTTTTTAGTCGCGCATATATGTCGTCCAGATGATTTGGTATTATCAACCGAGTTGAAAATGTAAATTGTCCACCGTATTGAGTTTCTTTAGCTATACTTGTCGTTAAATTTGATTAAGTTTCTTTTGCGGAACGAGACAATTTAGTTATAACTATGACGCCCTGTAATGACTGGTGGATGGAAAATAAAATCAATATTTAATTTGACGCTGTTTTGTATCATATTCTAGTTAATTTTTCCATTCCCAAAGCATTTTTGTCCGCCTCTACCTCGACTGCTGGAAAGGATCCTGCGGCACCAGTCAATGATTCTTACGCAAAGTTTGACGAGACTCGTGAGATTGGTGGATATTGCTTCGGGTCAAATTACTGGACTAGTCGACACGCAAACTAAATTACCTCGTCGATGGCTGAAGGATCCTTTTCAACACATACCGTATCCCCCCCCCCCCTTCTTTACTCTCTTTTCCGTCATCCTTCCACCCAAGCTAGACTGAACTCTCAAGTTCCTTTTTGATAATTTTCCCCGAAGCTAGCAGAAAAGCTCTGACTGTTCACTGATAAAAACGATTTGAGGACTTTACCTCTAGGCCTTGCTTCCTTACACAAACTCACATCCAGAGCTAAATAAAAATAATGATAAATACTTCTGGGATAAAATTAAATTCGCCTTATCGAGGAACAGGGCGAACTGTAGCAAAGTGAGTTAGAAAAGGTTTGCAATGTTTGAAAGAAAGTCGTGAGGCTTAAATTACTCATTTTGAAGGAATGCAAGTGACTCAAAGTTGGTATCCACGATCGCACTTTTCAGACTTTCATTTTTGTGGGAAGGTGTGTCGAGTATCATCGACATCGTCACCTAGCAGTTTTGAAAAGGAAGTCTGAGGTGGTTTGCTTTCTACGCGGGAGACTTTTTCCCCTGGTGACTGGAATATCCAGCTTAGACATTTGGATGTCATAATGTCAGAGGTGACACACGTACTTGAATACAGCTTGTGTAGAAGGTGTTACGAATGACCCTTCCGTCTAAGTACAACTGCCAACTAGTGCGGCTATCGAACAACGTAAAAGAAAAGCGCGTGTTTTAAGGCTCGCGAGTTAAATGCCTGCAACGCCGTCTAGTCAGATTCTTTCACATTTTTGTGTAAACAAAGTATTTCTGAAACGGTCAACTAACCTTTCTTGCGTTTCCCGTTGTATTTCTGCTCTCGCAAAGCTTTTGCTGAAAGACGTTTTAGTTATGGTTTCACAACGTAATTTGTTTGGTTATTTTTTTAATGATATTTTGCCACAGGGAAGTAAGCCAAGTCTATGGTATGTTTACAATATAAAGTGTCGCGATAAGGTGGATGATGCAACAGTAACTGGTTCTTGCCTTCAAATGTGTTTTTAAACAGAGACATTTTATCGGGAAGCAGGTTACCACATTATTTGAAAGAGGCTCTAAAACACGAATAATTCTCATGTCTGTTGAACTTTGAAATTTAACCCCTTCTCTATTATTTTTTAAGCAGGCTATATGACCCTTATTTGATATTGAAGAAATCGAAGTAAAATGTAAATTTCGCTTTCCCTAAATGTCAGAATATTTAACCGGCTGATGCTGGATATTACCACGTGGAAGTTATGACTCAGTGCTATTTTTAACCAATTAAAAGATATCTCTCGAAAATAATCCGCATTTCCGTCGAAGCTAGCAGCAGTGTCAGTGTTTTCTCGTCGTTTTCAGAGCTTTAAAGCCGCTTAGATCGAATACTCTTTCATTCGTTTGTTATTACTGTTACTTTGCGTTATGGGATTCAGTACGCGTGGGGAATCACCACTTCAGACCCGTGTGGCGAAAGCTTGTCGTAAAAGCTTGCAAAACCTGAAAAACCAGTTTCGTCCCAAGAGAAAGGTTGTCGTCATGAAAGAAGAACTCAATCAAAACAATCGAAATATTTTGCATGGTACGTAACATTTACTTCAAACAACGTTCATTAAACCCATAGGTTTCAGAAAGGTTGTGTTTTTTTCCGACAGCGAGTTACTAAATTGATGCGTTCATCGATGGCAATTGTTAAAGAAACGACATTTCAAACGCTGTATAACTTTTTAAATTGATATTTTGTACAGTTTCGTTCTGTTTGACCTCTATTGGGCATTAGGTTAACAATCTTTTCGTTTTTATCCCTCAATTTGAAACAAATATTATTTGATTCTCTGCTTATCGTGGTTTTTGTTAACTGAACCCAGATTCAAGGTTTTTTCGATGCTTGGCGTTCAAACGGAAATTCAATTCGAGCGCTTGTTGCTAAGTTTCACTTTCCATATGAACGAAACCTCGAAGAAACAATACGCGTCAAATTATTTTTTGTTTGCATTTTCAGGAGATTATTTCGGGGATTTGTGCCTCTTTCAAACAATTATCCTAAAATTTTCAAGTGTGTCGCTGTAATCTTTGTTAATCCGCTCTTTTCTCTGATCTTTCTAGATCTATGTGTTTTTTTGGCTTATTACTTTAACATTCAGTGTTTCACTTTCTTTCAAGATCAACATCATCAACGATCTTAAGTGCTAAAATTGTTTCAGTTTGCCATTTCTTGTACAGGGAATCTTCCCGCTTTCCTCGTCAATCCTTCTTCCTTCTGAGCTCTTTGTGAGCAGTTTGTTTTTTCTCCCTTTCTTACTGAGCCATTATTTTTGTTACTTTCCCTCAAGCTGAAGCAAGTTTACCTTTTCGCAGTAATCCACGTGTAGATTATTGCATGTGACTTAGCTGCTTTAAGATTTATGAATCACCAAGGAAGTTGATTCAATTATCTGCGAGATCTGTGACCTGAAGAATTGACCCTAGCTGTCAAACCAACTTATCTGCCTACTACCTGAATACGGCCTTACCTATACTACCTGGGAAAAAGTACCGTGTGAATACCAGCTGTGGAAACCAATAACAACAAAAACAATTTTTTTTATTTATTCTTTGTTCTTCTTATTTTTAATATAAGAGTTACGGCTAGTTCGGTCGGCAGATAAATAATATTAATGTAGGCGGGCCAGACTACAAAGTTTAATGAAATAATCCGAATATGACGCGTTACAACGCCGTGGTCGAAATTGTTTATTTGAGCTTTACATTGGTTCGTATGTTTCTGTCTTCTTAAACTGTTCTTTTTTTGCCAGCCTATTAGATGTTGAGAACAATTGATAGCATCTCAAGGAAATGTTGACACGTATGCACCCTGTCACGAGAACGCTTGGAATGATTAAAAGTGAATCTAAGAATATAAAGTTTGCCTTGCGGTTATCCTTCTACGATTTGGACAAAAGTCCTATCTCTCGTAGCTGTGATTCTTGTGTGCGCCGTAAAAATGGAAAGAAAATTTGGCATTTTACCACTGTTTTGCGGCAGACAAAGACCTGATTGAACCGTCTGTGCAAAAGTTTCACTCAGAATGCTTTCTTATCTACGGCAATTTTCTCGATAGGGACTGGATCATTCGATGAAAAAGTGTTGGCGACCATGTCTTCAACAGAGCGACAGAGACAGGTGCGATTGCCAAATCCTAACTTTATATTACTTTGTTTCTCGGTCTGAGCATGACTTTACAACCAAAACAATGCTGTTTCAGATTACCTTCTCCTCAGCCCAATCGGTTTCACTGAAAAACTTTCCTTTGTTTATCATCATCTGTTTATCTTTAGTTGTGAGGTTTTTTTGTTCCAGGAGCAACCAATAATGTATCGCTTGTAACAGAAACATGCGACCTTTGTTGGTATGCCTTTCTCTGTAGCCTCAGTAGGTTATTTCGCCTTTCGTTTAGACATGTTGCTGGGTTATTTCTTAAATACGTATGATACTGAGCGTTATATCGCCTCTCCTCCCTTCCAGATTATTTTCAAGAAGTACTTCTTGATTTTCTGACAGTGACACACTGAACATATAACACAATATTTGCTTTCTTGTTGTTTCCGTCATTCATAATTATCTCTCCTCTACAGAATGTCATATATGAATTGATGAATTCGGAGCAGAGCTATATGGATGATCTGAGTGCGACTTTGGAAGTAAGTGCATGATGGACTCCGAGTTGATTAGCTGAGGAGTTTATCAAATTAATTCACAAAAAAGGAAGGTATTGCACTTTCTCTCACCCCTTGATTTTGAGGTCTTTTGATGATTTTTTTTGTTGAACAGCCGGCCTAGCAGTGATTAGGGTTAAATGATTAAGGAAAAAGAAAAAGGTAGATAAATATTGGGGACAAAGCAGAAGGCCGAGTATTTTAGCGCAGTGGTCTTATAATCTGTAGGATCCAATCGAGTCCAGTCTCTCTACTTTGAAACTTGTTGGATTTGTCGTCAGCACTTTCTTGTTAGTTCTCCAGCATCCCTAGCAGCTGGTGTGTTATTTCACCATTAGCTGTGTTAAGTTCATATAATTCAGGGCTCCAAATCAGGGCTGCTTTAAAGAAAGGCCATTTTTATTTAAAGCTAATGTACAATAAAGAAAGTTAAAACTATTGGTACTTATTTTATACAGGTGTTCTACAATCCTCTCGCTGATTCCGGTCTAGTGACGGAGCAAGAACTTAGCACTGTGTTTATTAACTGGAAAGAGCTCATCTGGTGTAACATGAGGCTGCTCAAGTAAGTAGTTACGCAATGCTTTTCATACCCTAAAGTGAGTAATTAAAATCACCCAGTTTAGTGTTTGAGAACTCATGCTACGATGATACCCAAACAGGCCAAAATAAACATCTTGAACTGTGTAATCGTATTTTTTGACGTTTTGTATCATGATAAAGCAAGGCTTGGCTTGTTCACTAAGTTGTCCGCTGTTTTGATCCACAGGGCGTTTCTCATTCGAAAGAAGATGAGCACCAACGTGGCAATTACGTCGATTGGGGACATTTTGTGCGAAATGGTGAGATCTCTTAAAACCTAAACTTACTGTCATGTCGTATTTCATTTTAAAGAGCAACGGAACGAGAATTCTGAATCGTCTAGGTTCCGAATCATCTCATTTTAAAAGAAACACCGTTAATTGTAATTTTAAGGATGTGATAAGTTTCTTTTGTAGTCGTCTTCGAATTTTAAAGCGATATGACGACGTGAGAGGGTGTGAAAAAAGAAGTGGAATATCCTCTCTTAAAGTTGATTATTTTCATTCCTAGCATTGTATTTTTATGTTCTGCTTTTAGTTGCCCCGCTTTACTCCATACGTCAGGTTCTGTAGCTGTCAGCTCAAAGCTTGTCAGCTATTACAAACCAAGATCGAAACTATTCCCGAATTCAAGCAGTTAGAGAAGGTGAGAATTTTGTGTTAGATCAATTACGATTGATAGTTGATATGGGTCTTTCTTCTCATCATTTTTCTGATTGGCGATGCATGGATATTCTAAGGAGAGATTGCGTTCAGATTGGTCACTCCTGAGAGGGAAAGGGTTAAAGCCGTTGAAAACTGGAACAAGAATTTCACGTTACTGTGATCTTAAAGCGAACATTTGCGTTTATCTCCATCATTTTGTCAATACCGCTGGGGTTATTTAAAATATGTCAATTGGAAAAAGGAAGGCTGTAAAGAGAGGATGAAGACCGCCTCTGCATCATCTATTTGTGTTGGGAAATTTAATTTTTGTCAGGGAAAATTTAAGGCTTTTACTGAATTTGTGTTTCTTGGTTTGTATCTAGAGATGTATTGCGGATCCCAGAGCTAAAGGTCTTCCTTTGAGTAGCTATTTACTGAAGCCTTTGCAGAGAATTTGCAAATATCCCCTTCTTATCCGAGAGGTAAGTAAATTTGTTTTTACAGGTTGAGACTAGTTAGACGTTCCTTTTTCTGCAGCACTTTCATGGACTGACCCGTCCACTATGTGTTGTTGCTTTATCATCGATCGACTGAAAGATGGCAGCTACAAGTTGGTAATGCGTCTTTTTATGTTACATCTGTCTTTGGGTATTTACGTACAATCTTTCTTTTCTCCCTCTGTAGATTTTAAAATTTACTCCGGAGAATCATTCTGACAGAGGCAACTTAGAAACCGCGCTTGAAAAAGCCGAAGAGCTCTGTCAACAGGTGAGAAGTCCTGGTGCTTGATATGCGAGGGGAACTGTTCCTCTTCTCCTTCTTTAAACTTTCTTCCTTCCTTCTCGAATTCCGCATCCTCCATTCCTCCATGCTCTCCCCTTTCTTCCTCTTGATGCACACCGTTGACTTCATACCACTTATAGCTACAAGTTTTCCTCTGTTGTTGAGTTGTTGCGCGTTTTCTACAGGTTAATGAAGGTGTACGCTCTCAAGAAAACACAGATCGCCTTGAATGGCTTCAAGCACACGTCAATCTCGAAAGTATTGGAGAGGTACATGAATGGTTGTCGTCAACGTTTAGTTAAGTAATTGATTTCCCTTACAGAGCGGCATGCTTGAAGTTTCTTTATTTTGTTTGTTTCTTTGCAGCGTTTGTTTTTTAATTCCACCACGAACTGTCTTGGACCAAGAAAACTGTTGCACTCCGGAACATTATGGAAGGTACACTTATTTTTTCTTTGTATTTGTTTTTTTTTGTTTTGGTTTTTTTTTTCTTAATCTGTCCTTTTTTTCTACCTTGTCCACCTTGATTTTGCATAACTTATTAGACGATCTGCTCTCCTTGCTTTTCGCCTTATTAAGTAACTGGTCGATTGAAGGGGTACCTACCACGAGAGGTAAGCATCAGGAGTTTTATCCCTGGGGTTTGATGCGATAGCTCTCATAACCCGGGGACTAAGCAGGAAACCGAACCACTTTGGATTCGTCGATAACTCTTTTGACCTAAATATCTGAGAAAGTTGGAAAGAAACTGGTGAGATGGCATGTGTCACGCCTGCCTAGTCCTCTTCTGGGTAGACTCTTAAACCGTCCTGTTTTCATTATTGCTTTCTGTGCTTTTTTAAGTTCCGTCTCTCTCTACCAAGAAAGAAGAACACAACTGCTTCGTGTCATAATCAAAGTTTGTTTGCAATGAACAAGCATACCAGTGATTAAGGATCGGCGTTATACATATGCGTGACTCTTGACAGTCGCGGAGACTGCAACAGAAAATAGTGTTCCCTGCAGCTCTATTTCATTCAGGAATTTTAACGCTGAAAGCCAACAAAACAGATCACAATTCAGTGGCGATGAAATTGCGCTGAAAAGGAACTTCACCTTTGTTATTTCAGGTTAAGAGTGGAAAAGAACTGAAGGCTTTCTTGTTCAACGATTTTCTCATGCTCACCCGGCCGCGAAGCTCCATTGCAGGAAGTTTGTCCAAGAAGATTGGATTTGAGTCCAATGAACAAGATGCTATATATGACATTTACAGAAAGGTAGGTATCAATACACTCATCTCGTCCATTTCTTTGTCGTTTAGTTCTCTTTACTGTAACTGTGTTGACTGTCATGGTTTATCAGGAATTGTTCTGAGGGTCACGTATTCTTACCACTTTGTTTCAGCCTATCATGCTGAATGAAGTCATCGTCAAGAGAAATCAAGAAGTGAATCGTAAGTAACGATCATTTTACTCCTTATGTTGCCCAAAAAAAATGAATTAAAAACACTAGATTGAAAACATACCTCAAGTGTTGTTGTTTTAGATTATGCAAGCATTCACCAAGACTGCCGCCGCTCGTTTTTGCTAAAACTTGGGTACAAAGCTGACCAGAAGGTGTGACAGCAAACTCACGAAAAAATTGTTTTTTTGATATCATCTTTTTCTCCCTTAACTTTCAGCTGAAGAGACTGTCTTTCACATATCGCATATTGATCAGACGTACTCCTTCCGAGCAGAGTCTAAATCCGAAAGGTAACACCCACACAAGAAGCCATATGATATGTATAATTGTAGTCGTGTTCAGCGGACTAATGTTCGATCGTTCCTATCAATTGTGGAACAAACACGGTGGCCTAAGGCTAAGTGCTCAGAAATCAGGTTTGAGCGGCTGGGTTCGAGCTGGGTTCGAGCTTTCGCCAGTATCATGTTTTGTTCTATGGCAAGACACAATTTAACGATGTCTCTCTTTACCATGGGTTACAAATAAGTTGCGACCAGCTGTCTGATGAACTGTTAGGGTGTTCTCTCTGATGTTATATTTATTATTTTCTTATTGACGAGATTTCCTTTGCAGAAATCGTTGGATGGATTTAACGGAGAAAGCTTCCACGACATATATTGAAACAGAACGTGAATCGCGACAGAAAGCGCATAGAGGTTAGTATAATGATGTCACTTTCTCTTTGTGCAGTAGGAAAGGAAGGCAGGAGGGGGGGGGGTGGGGAGGGTTGTACAGAAGTTCTTAATTGTAAACGAGGTGGTTTTAAGTATTCAATGTATTTATCTTTTCTTTTCCGTTTCCTTTCATCAGCGCGATCGTTTCGGACGGGCGGAATTGGAAAGCTCAAGGTGACCATGATCGAAGGGGTTGACTTAATAGCGTCTGATCCCAATGGTGAGTTTAGTGATACTGAAGTCGAATCAGGATTTTTAATTGCATATTGTCGCCATATAGCCCAAGGGAACACGAAATAAAATCACCCAACTTTAGCCAACAAAGGGAGAAGCAGCACGCAGAATGTCGCAAGACATCTGAAATGTTAATAAAACCAAACGAAAAGTAGTTTACGGCTCCAGCAATCGCTAAAACGTTTAGCATTACTTTCGAAATTTGAGGGACGATATCAACATCCACTGTAGATTATTGATAAATATTTCAACGCTAGCTCTGGTGCCTTAAGTTTTGCTATAAGGGCTTAATCAAGAGAGGGTCTCCTTCCACCATCTGTTGTTTTCAGAAGCTTTTTCAGATACAGTTTTGAGATAATTTCAGCTCTTTTCATCTGCTCACTCACCTAGACGGTACGGAATTACATGAAAGGATAATGAACCACTTGCGCTTATCATAATTTTTCATTAAGTGCGCAAAGGAAAATGCATAACTTCAAACTAATAAATTATAAGTACTTCTTTGTATGTCATTTCATATATTTGATAAAAAGAAGCGCGCAACATGCTGTTCCTCGGCTAATTTTAGACTTAAATCAAAATGCAAAAGTTGCACGAATCAGGTAGTTCCTCTTCGTTTACAATTTGTGGATAACGTGAAAGGAATAGCTGATTTAAAGCTATCCTTTTACGCGAGTCGGCGTGTTAAGCGCATACTCAGTCAAACACGCTGTAAGTTGGTAATACTTTTACTATATTACCAAAAAACACGGCAGTATTTGCGTTCAAGATGGGTGTGATGGCCTTAAAAATTGCCCTAAAATTATAACACCGGAATCTTGCAAGAGTTCTGATATTAAAAGATTCAGGTGTTTTTATATGTTTGTGGTTATTCTTTGGTACTAATGCGAACGAAAGATTAGCCGCATGTAAATCCTAAATACCAAGGGTAACTAACGGAACAGATTCTTTATAGCTCGTTAAACTAAATCTTTCAGTAAGTCAGGCTAAACAAAGCTTATCTAGAAATGCTTCGTTATACGCAAGGTTTTTAAGCAGTCGTTAACTGTGGAAGTGAAATACTTCGATGCATATTCAGTTAATGAATTGATGATGAAAAATAGTGCAGTCGCTTACAACTGTTCAGTCCTAACCCCACGGTGTCTGTCGCTGTTTTTTGATTGAACCATTGTTCTAAAATCCTGAGTCTGCCCTAAGCAGGCACAAAGTCGGAACTCATTCAAAACTTCCTTAAACGCAGTTCGGTAATTTGTACTGTTCAGCGCATAGGTGATAGGATTCAAACTGGAACTGCAGTACACCAGAAAATACGAAGTCTTGTAGAACACACTGCTTTGGGCTATGTCTGCTGCAGTTGCAATGGCAAAGGGAAAGAAACAAAACAAAAACACAGCAGTGACAATCAGCAACATTTGGACGATTTTTCGTTTGAACACTCCATCATTGTCCATTCCGGCGTTAGCGTTTGAGGAGCAAATCGTGTTGGTGAAGTACAAACCTCTGATTATGCTGAAGTAGCACATAAACATGATAACAAAAGATGAAGTGATGATCACGGCAAGGGCGATCCAATATGCATTGCTTTCCGCGGCAGAAGTCGACCAGCTTGTAATGCACCGATGGTATTCCTCGCTGTATGTTTCGAAGATAAACAGGGGACACACATAAGCGATGGCGAAAATCCATATCCCTATGATGGCATAGAGGACGTTTCCTTTCGTGAGACGAAACCGCGTTTCCATTGGAATCACCAGAGCTTTGTAGCGTTCCACAGAGATTAATGTCAGTGTCAATCCAGAGACGATCATTCCAACACCAGCGATGGTGTGTGTTGTAATGAATTTACAGAGGAGATTGCCCATTTGCCCGTTTGGTTGCTTGGTATAGGAAAGAATCATCCCAGGAAGGCAGAAGACGAGAGTTAACAAGTCTGAGATGGCGAGATTGACGAGCAGGAAGTTCATGGTAGAATGCATGGATCGTTTTCTTCGCACCACTTCTATCACAAGTGAGTTACCAGCGATACCCACAAGGATTACCGCGATGTAAGCCATAATCAGGAAGACATCTGCTGTGTCCACCCGCATTGTAAATCAAAGAGATGCGGCACCTATATCAAGCTCACCTTTCTTTTGTTTCAATGAATATGAAAGTTCTCAATGGTATTTTCGATTTTTCTGCTGACGCGCTGTTTCAGTCATCTGCTTTATCCGCAGTAAAGACATCTCGTGAGACAGTTTCATCAAAGTTTTAGCGTTCCGATGTCTTTCCTGTCGGGTTGTTTTCGTTATCAGACTCTCCACGGTTTTATTTCTTTGTGCCAAGTTGCCCTTTCAAAGGTTGCGGGCAGTTTTTTACTGTTCCTCCTGAAAAAGGACGGAAAATTCTGTGAAAATCTGCTTGTCGTAGAAATAGACGGAAACTGTTCGTATTTGCCTTTGATGTCTTTCCTCTTACCTGACGTTTCAATGCTTTTTCTGCTTCTTTTTCTGGTATTTAACCTTTGGTGAATTGTGGCATCCGATAGCTAGGTATGCATTTTTTTGTCTCAGTTGCCGCATGAGCGATGCTTTTTTACTGAGACCTATTTAAAAAGTGACAACGTCAAAGAGTGTGTAATTTGAAAGCTCTAGAAATTGAAATGGAATCACTTATTGAACCGGAAAGTTCATTTGTTGAATAAATAACTTTCTAAATATGTTTTTGTGGTACAGTGTTTCAGATTTGTTTGTGAAAGGGAGCCATTGAATTTGGAAAATTTTATTTGAACTTTAACAGCTGTTGTGTAGTCCGGTTGTCTGGGTTTACTCAGCTTTGGAACAATTGCAAAATTGCGAGAATAAAAATGAAACCTGGGAAACATTTTTATTTCATGTTACCCACAGAGTTTTCTTCACACGCCCCTGGCATAATTTTCCGTTGAGTAAATGATGTTTACATTATCCTAGAATGCAAAAGAGTCATTTTATATGCAGAAAGGTGTGGCGAATTGGTTGTGATGTGTGATAGATGTATTTTTACTTAGCACCCTGTGGCTTTTTTCATTGATACTATTCTGATATTTTGTTTTTCTAGACCCTTGAAGAAATGTTGTTCTTCTCTATTCTATATTAGTTCCACGTCCAGTCATTAACCTCAGTAGTTCTCCAATAAAAACCACTCTTAATTCAGAGCAAAATTCTGATGGAAAGATATGCGCTTAAAATATGTTTTTTCTTTCTTTCTTTCTTTTTTCTTAATGGAAGGAGAAACATTAACAATGGTCGACTAAAACCTCCGTGATATCAAAATTTATGCTTAGTTAAATAGTGTTCCCAATAATGACCAATGCTAGTATTATCTGTAAATCGAGTAGCTGTTGACGATGTGGTTTGAGTCGGAAGGTCAGAAAGTGCAATATGATCTTTTCGCTCGGTTTCACCTTGGAGTGAAGGACAAATTTCTCCTCTGAAACATGATACGATTAAAACTCTTACGTAACCATGGAGTTAGTTTACCGTATCCTAAGAGGATCTTCAATTTGTGTTTGACAGAAAGTTTCAGTCGCCTAATGGATGTAAGATATATTTCGTTTACATTATGTCAGCTGAAGAGTAAACACCATCTCATCATAAGTCGATATGAATGCAGTACGTGGGGCAATCTGCAATGAGCATTATCCAGTCACTTGAAGTTTGCCCAATTCTTAATTGTAATTTGGTTTTTAGGGGGGTTTTTTTTCGTCGACGAGAGTATCGCTCATTGTTCTCAACGGAGTTTACAATTACTCAGAACCTATATCTAGTGTGAATCAGACGTGATTTTGAGCTTTGTTACCTTCCACTTCTCGGTCAACTTTCAGGCGACTAAAAGTATAGATGTCCAATTGCTTTTGCGCTCGTTAATGTGTGTGTCTTACAGGAACCACAACCGGCATGGTTTGAGTTAAATAAAGAATTAGCATAAATATGACAAATTTGTGGCGTAGTATTCAACGTCTGTTTGCCTTTCACATATCGCTAAGTAATGGTTTTTTTTTTTAAATATTCTAACTGGAGGCAATTTTTTTTCTTATACATTAGCCAAAATAGTAAAAGTCGGCGATCATGAAAATACTTATTTTTCCTCTTGATAATCAGCAGATAGCAGATGACAGATACAATAGTGATCTGATGTACGTAATATTTCTCCGTAGTGACATCAAGAGACTTGCCAATTTACACTAAGAACTTATATTTTGATATTGGGTCTATTATAGTTCGTGATGTTTAAGTCTCCGAGGCGTCACACTTATTTCTATCATTTGACATTTTGAAGATTTAAAGAAATCAAACATGTTGAACTGGTTCATCGAAACATTGTCATAAAACGAAGCTCTTTCCATTCAAGAGCGGATCGCTTACCTCAGAATCATTGATTTTTTTTCCAGAATCTTCACTTGAATTTTCGTATTTGACATGAATCACAATTGAACGACACGACGTCGTTTTTTAAGGCGCCTTTGAAATATAATATTTTAGGCGTCTATACACCGATTTTCAGATCTACGAACAGGATAATTTGTGCTTGGAGTAGACAGTTTATGCTTTCCAAGAAAGAAAAAACATCTGCCTCGTTCAATTTGTTTAACTAAACATTGAAACATTAAACTTCAACCATATCGCTTTTCTTCTTTTCTGTCTACGTTATTGGTAGCTTGGGCTTCCAGGAGACAGCTCTTACGCGCAATTGTTTACTGAATACGAAAAGACGTGAATATGAAAGCGATCTTCGCAGTAATGATCACTACTTGAGTAAGAAAATTTATTATGTTTTACTGTGATTGGTGAGTATTAAAAGCGTATGTTTTGCAGGGAAATCAAAACAGTGCTGTTGAACTTCTCAGGAAAGTTTCATTTTTAGAAAAATAACAGATACAGCGATCTTTTGTCGTTTTCAAACTTGCCCTAAAGGGTTTCAGTATCCTCCTGCGGAAAAAAAAAACTTATATCTAGCTTCTACAATTACTGTAGTTACAGATGAAGTACGTAACTCACTTTTATGAAACTGTTTCAAATGTCTCTATCAGTCTTGTCTTGCAAAGTTGCTGATGATTCTTCAGACCTTAGCCAAGCCCATCTATGTCTGCCACAAAGGTGCCCCCAACTTTAATCGCTTGGTAACACCGAGTGGTAATGAGCATCAAAATTTAATTGGTTTAGCAGTTGGTGCAAAGCTTTGGCCAGTCGCTGCAGATATGTCTTAGAGCCAATCAGATACAAGATGTTAAAGAAAATATTGTTTTTCATCGTGGTTCTGCAGATTAATTAATGTTTCATCGTTTGTCTTGCGATGTAATTATCAGGCTATCAGTAGTATCAACCGCGACATTTCGACTACTATACTGCGTCTTCGTCAGGCGACGAGGTCGAAAGTTTACTTGTCGTTATTTATAGCACCTTGGTCTGCTGTCATTCGTATGATAACATACTGTGATTTGAGTTCGTGCGCTTTTTGGCGTTTTTTTCTCCTCTGTATTCGAGGAGAGCAGTTTTGTTGCTGTTTGACAGACTTCTTGTTAGCCGTGGACAATATTGTTGGAATAAAGTAACCCTGGGTGGAAAATGTAGATGTCTTAACTGGCTTACCTATGTTCTCGGTCTTACCTTGTTCTTTTAATGCATAGGTCTAAGTGATCCCTATTGTGAAGTGAGCATGGGCAGTCAAGAACACCGCACGAAAGTGGTACCGCAGACGCTCAATCCGAAATGGAATTCTCAGGTAAAGTTCGCAAACCAACTCACTATCAGATAGCTGGCAAAGCGGTTTTCTAAGGTGTCCATTCCGTCACTCAATAATAATGCGTTCTCTTTAATTTTTCTTCGCAGATGACTTTCACGGTGAAAAGCCTTGAGCAAGATGTGCTCTGCATCACTGTCTTTGATCGAGACCTGTTCTCTCCAAATGGTAAAGTAACAAACCACGAACGATTCCTATTCTGTAATCGCTATTTTCGTTTGTTTGTTCGTTTTACACCAAAGACTATTTCTGAATATTTTTTTTTACTTCTTTGTCAGACTTTCTGGGTCGCACTGAGTTAAGCTTGGCGAAGCTTTCACCAAAAGGCAGAGGACCCTGGCAGGAAAGATTGTTATTGCACGAGGTTGAAACGGGAGAAGTAGTAGTAAAGATTGAACTACACTTAGAGGCAACATAAATGTAATGTAAATCAATATGGAACAACCGCTGAGCGAATGACCTCAGCCTCAAATATGAACACGTGTTACCTTGTGACGCCACCCCCAGCTGTACTGAGTCGTTTTTAGCCGATGACATTTACAAACTAAGGCATCTAATGTTTGACATGTATTTTAACTGGCTTACAGATAGAGAACAAGGCGTGAAGACACACAATACTTCTTTTGTTGACGTCGTGTCTGTCTAGTGTTAGATGTCAGACTAGCTGGTAAAAGACGTTTTTTGGGGAGAGCTTTATGTATTTTTTGAGTTTTTTTTATAGTATCCACTGATCGTTCGAGAGTAAAGAACTGGCAACCAGCCTCGAATATGCTCATTCTACAGAGAATTGTGTCTACTTAGGTTTTTTCATCTATTTCCGACGTGATAACCCTTCTACACCTGCAAATTGAACTAAGCTACTGATGTAGAAAGTTGAAAAGGGTGATTTCCTTAAACAGAGTTGTTTTTCCTCCCCTTAAAAGGTCTTACTTTGCGAAAATGTGTAGTTCGCAAGGAGTTCTTCGCAATTTTAAGGTATTATAATTCCAATTGTGAACTTGTGAAAATACCATTTGAAGCTACTTAACTGAAAGCAAGGGTGAATAGATCCTGGCTTAATGTCAAGGTTGAATTTTTCTTTGGACATTGAAAGACACGGTGACAAACCAAACCAAAACCGTTTTTTTTTTATTTTTTAAGCGCCCCTGTAAGATTAAAGTAATATAATTCCAAGTGTACGTGTATATAATCTCTTGTTAGTGCTATCCTTTTGAGCATAAGAAACTATGCAAAGAACTTCATGCTTCGACCTATAAATACCTTAAAAATAAACTTGTAATTAAAATAATCTTTGTCTTGTAGAAAAAAAAACATAGCAACTTAAAGATTCATTTTTTCTGTTTTGAAAACGATTGTCGTCTTGTTACATCATTTAGATTTGAATGATTTGTTGGTCAAATTTGCTACACGCCAGGTTTCGTCTATTTTGTTTGTTTGCAGACGAAGTCAAAGCGAAAAAGTTGTACACATTTTCGAACTAAAAATTTCTTTAAGAAAATGGAATAAAATATGAAATTAATGAAATAACTTGAGGTGTAAGAAAATATGCGTTCTAATAATTACAGCAACAACGTATTATGTCCTTTGTGAGGTGAAAAGTGTAATTAAAAAGTGTTAAACTTACTTTTCTGCGTGTCTGGTATGTTTCTTGCTTTTCTTTCAAATATAGTTGTCTTACGGCACTATGGTTAAGTGTTCGAACGTTTGGAAAACACTTTGCAACAAGTGAGAATTTGCGTAGCTGCACCCCCAGCAACAACGTAATTTGTTCTGCATAAGGTAAAACTGTTATTAAAAAGTCCTTTACTGACTTTTCTTCGTGTTCCGTTCTTTTCTCGCCTTCTTTTGTTTCCTGTGTTGTCGTGTGTTCCCTCTAGTAAGGTTTACATAGTGAGCTGAATTATACACGCATTTTAACCCTTTGGACTCCACGAGTGATTAGCATCTAATTTCTCCGCATAATATCACTGTTGAATCACACTTTAAGGTCACGAGAATAAAGGAAATGATCACCAGCTTAAGAGACTATTGATTATTGAACAAATTCTCCTTGTCAGCACCTTACGAAATGTATAGAGAACAGTACAGAGAATACGAAAACTAGCGTCAGGGTGTAAAGTGTTAAATGGTTCTTACTTATGATCCATTGGAGGACAGACGCATAAATGACATCACCATTAACTCTTTACATGCTACCGTCATTATGCATATTCTCTATACTGTTCTTTATACATTTCCCAAGATGCTGACAAGGAGATTTTGTTTACTGATCGAAAGCTTCTTTTGTTGTTAATCATTTCCTTCATTCTCATGACATTAATGTGTGATTCAGGGGTGATATTGTAAGGAGAAATTAGATGTTAGTCACTCTTAGGGTTTTAAAGGTTAACAACGTTTTGTTTCTTCACCATAAGGACATCATACGTGTGCCGTTTTGTGCTCCTTACATCTTGACGTCATTTGTGATCTATTACGGAACAGACACAAGGCAGCATGGGACAGATCTGGCTGTTATTACAAAAGTTTATTTAAGAATCTTCTGTTACAGGAGCGTCAAAAATCAATTTCAGTGTCTCACTGAACGTTCGCCAATGTGGGTAATGGGTGTTGCAAGACTCAAACAACATCCTCTATAGTCCCGACAACACAGTACGCACTACCTTGTCATGCTAGCGACGATGGGTAATATAACATGTGGTATTCCACAGGGGTCTATTTTAGGCCCTCTCTTATTCACTATTTATATTAATGATCTCCCTTCATGTGATTTGTTTTCAAAACCCAGATTGTATGCAGATGATACTACCCTTACTACATCTGCAGAAGACCCATGGGTCCTTGAATATAAAGTGAATTATGATATGAATTTAATCCAGTCATGGCTGTCAGCAAACAAATTAACTTTAAATGTGAAGAAGACTAAATACATGCTTATAGGGAACCAATTTAAGTTATCCCAAATAAATAGTGACTTCACAGTCAAAGTCAATAACACTCCCTCAGAAAGAGTAATTGAACATAAAACCCTTGGAGTTCAAATTGATGAATCTTTAAGCTGGCGCCCACACATTCATACCATTTCAAAGAAAATATCCGCTGGTATTGCTATCTTGAGGCGTGTAAGTAATTTTATACCACTTGATACTAGAGTGAATATGTATAATGCACTTGTGATGCCATATTTTAATTACTGTAGTGCCGTATGGGGTAATATCAATAAGGGACTAGCAGACAATCTTCAAAAGCTGCAGAATAGGGCTGCTAGAATTCTCACCTTTTCTAACTATGTTCGCTCAAGTGTTTTGTTGGATGAGCTTGGCTTGGAAAGGCTAGAACATGTAAGACTTAAACAGTTGGCTGTGACAATGTATAAAATACATAATAATCTTTCCCCATCTTATCTGAAGCGGATCTTTACCAACACCTCAAATGTACACTCACACAATCTTAGAAATTCTGA